TCAAAGGAGGAGCACGAGGAACACTTGAGAGTGGTGCTTGAGTTGCTTAGAGCCCATAGACTATATGCCAAGTTTGGGAAGTGTGAGTTCTGGCTAGGAGAGGTGAAATTCTTAGGCCTTGTGGTATCCAAGGAAGGGGTGTCTGTTGATACATCCAAGGTAGAGGCAGTGCAAGATTGGGCACAGCCTAAGAGTGTGTTTGAGATCCGCAGTTTTCTGGGATTAGCTGGGTATTACCGTCGGTTTGTGAAAGATTTCTCCAGGCTAGCTTCGCCGTTGACTAGATTGACGCGGAAAGGGATCAAGTTTGTATGGAGTGAGACTTGTGAAAAGTCGTTCCAAGAGTTGAAGGTTAGATTGACCACCGCTCCAATTTTGATTATTCTAGAGAGAGGGTCGGGTTACGCGGTGTATTGTGATGCCTCACGAGAGGGTTTGGGTTGTGTGTTGATGCAAGAGGGGAAAGTGGTAACCTATGGCTCACGTCAGTTGAAAATTCACGAGAAGAATTACCCTACACACGACCTAGAGTTAGCAGCAGTGATCTTTGCCTTGAAGATTTGGAGGCACTACCTGTATGGTGAGAGGTTCGAAGTGTTTTCGGACCACAAGAGTTTGAAGTATCTGTTTACACAGAGAGACTTGAATTTGAGGCAGAGGAGATGGATGGAGTTCATTGAGGACTATGATTTCGAGTTGCACTGTCATCCGAGGAAGGCCAATGTTGTGGTCGATGCCCTTAGTAGGAAATCCATTAATGATGTAGCCTGTATTGCCATCCGGGAATAGGAGATGTTGGGGGCACTTGGCGAGTTTGATTTGCATCTGGGCGAATCTGTTGAGGCTGCGGCCTTGTTTTCTGTTGTTGCGCAGCCTACACTTGTGATTCGAGTGTTAGAGGCACAGAGGGGTGACCGTGAGGTGGAGTCCTTCCGAGAGAAGATCTCCAGTGGGAAAGTTGAGAAAGGTTTAACGGTGTATCCTGACCAGAGTGTGAGATACCGAGACCGTTTGTTTGTGCCAGAGTCTTGCCGAGAGGAAGTACTCCGAGAGTTCCATCATTCACGCCTTGCGGTGCATCCGGGAGGCACTAAGATGTATCGGGATTTGGGTCGCCAGTTTTGGTGGCAGGGTATGAAGAGAGATGTGGCTGTTTTCGTGTCTAAGTGCCTTACTTGCCAACAAGTGAAGGTCGAGCATCAGAGGCCAGCGGGTTTGTTGCAACCCTTGCCTATTGCCGAGTGGAAGTTGGAGCATGTCACTATGGACTTCGTTGTAGGTCTTCCGAGCACTCAACGGGGTAGTGATGCCATTTGGGTGGTTGTAGACCAGTTGACTAAGTCGGCGCACTTCATTCCTATGCGCGTGAGAGATTCGGTGGATTATCTCGCCGACTTGTATATTCGGGACATAGTGAGATTGCACGGGGTCCTAGTGACGATCGTCTCGGATAGAGATCCTCGTTTTACTGCTAGGTTATGGCAGAGTTTGCAGGGTGCCTTGGGCACTAAGTTGACCTTTAGTACGGCTTATCATCCTCAGACTGACGGGCAGTCCGAGCGTACTATTCAGATCCTTGAGGATATGCTTCGAGGTTGTGTCCTTGACTTTAGTGGGACCTGGGAGAGGCACTTACCCTTGGTGGAGTTTGCCTACAACAACAGTTTTCAGTCTAGCATCGGTATGGCACCGTTTGAGGCCTTGTATGGCCGACCGTGTAGGTCTCCAGTGTGTTGGGCCGAGGTGGGTGATGCACCTTTGTTGGGTCCGGAGTTGGTTAGGGAGACGACAGAGAAAGTTGAGCTTATCCGTAGGAGGCTTGTTACAGCCCAGAGTCGCCAAAAGAGTTATGCCGACCGTAGGAGGAGGCCTTTGGCGTTTGAGGTAGGTGATCATGTTTTCCTGAAAATATCACCTAGGCGGGGTTTGATGAGGTTCGGGAAGAGTGGGAAGTTATCCCCTCGGTTTATCGGTCCCTTTGAGATCCTTGAGAGGATTGGGGAAGTTGCTTATCGTTTGGCTTTACCGCCGTAGTTGTCCGAAGTGCATGACGTGTTTCATGTGAGTATGCTTCGGAAGTATGAGCCGGATCCGTCCCATGTGTTGGATTGGACCGACTTGGAGGTAGATGAGGATGCCTCGTATGAGGAGAGACCGGTTCGGGTCTTGGATAGGCGGGATCAAGTCTTGCGAGGCAAGACCATTCCCTTGGTGAAAGTTTTGTGGAAACATCACGGAGTGGAGGAAGCCACTTGGGAACGTGAGGCGGATGTCCGTGAGAATCATCCGAACTTGTTTGTTGATGTGTAATTTTGTAATGAAATTCTGTAATATTGTTGAACTTTAAGAGCATTGTATATGTCATAAGTTGTAAAACATTGTGAATATTTTGGTTAATGGAAGTTTGTTTTAACATTGCGTATGTTAAGTATATTGTGGAAATGCAAGCATAATATTAATGTTGCATGTGTTAAGAAATTATGAGAAACAGGTTGAAATTGGTAGATTTCAAAAGAATGCATGTTGATAATGCAGGTTGTTATGAATAATGTGTTTTGCCTCTTGTAAAGAGATGGGATTGACCGGTAATGGGTCGGGTTGTTTAATATTATGTTGTAATATTGTTGAGAATGGAGAAAACCTGTTTTTTTTTAAAAACTTGTGTTTAATTTCGGGGACGAAATTCCTTAAGGGGGGGAGATTATAGCGATCCTGGTTGTCCCTTTACTATTCTGTTGTATTCCGGACTCGATTCCGTGAAATTGATAGTTGTATCTATCTTGTTATCATCCTTTAATTCCACTTGATTGAGTTTTCGGATGTTTTGGGCAGGGTTGTTACAGGTTGGTTAGGCCTTGGTTTCAATTCCTTGTTGCCCAGTTTTTAGGCGGTCCGCTCGAGCGGGTATTGCACACCTCCAGTATTTCGTGTTCCTGCAAAACTTCTACAAGTGTGATTTTTACGCTCGAGCAGGTTTCTTTACGCTCGAGCGGGTTCGTTGACGCTCGAGCGAGTAGTACTTTCTGGGTGTAAGTTCTAGGAGGGGAAAATCTACGCACGAGCGAACTAGTTTTCGCGCTCGAGCGGATGTGCTTTATTCTTGTGTCTTGGCGCTCGAGCGGGTCTTCTTACGCTCGAGCATGTCCAGATTTTTGTTCTTGACGCTCGAGCGTTGTGTTCTCCGCTCAAGTGGGAATGTCGTATATCAGTTGGCTGTGGGGCAGTTTTAAATAACTTTTTCTCATTCTTTCTCTCTCTTACTTTTCCGAAAAAGCCATTTGAGAGCTTCTCTCTCTAGAACCTTGCCTTCTCTCTAAGTATTGATCTAGTAAGAGTTGTTTCCCCACCTTTGGCCTTTACAAAAAGGCTGTTGATCGTCGAGAGCTATCTTTTGATCCGAGAAACTCGTGGTTTGGAACAATTTCGTTTTCACCATCTTCTTCGTTGGGTGTCTTCTTTTGAGGTAGGGATATCCTACTCCTCTTTATGAGTTTTGTCTTTAAATTTTAGCATTTCGATATGTTGGGGGTTGTTGGGTAATTTTGAGAGAGTTTGGGCCTTTGTGTAATTTTACAAACGTCGGGGTTTTAATTATATGAAACCTAAATGCATGTTTGGCATAAAGGAATGAAGTAAATGTTGAAACATTGATGAAAATGAAACCGTGGAGGGTTGAAATGTTAATTATGGAAAATGCCCTAATTACATTGATTGATTAATTTGTACAATTAATTATTGGAAATGAGGGATTGAATTGAGAATGTAGAAATTGGAAAGGGAAGGGATTAGAGGGTGTAGTTGGATCATTTATCGTTCACCTAATTGAAATGTTGATTTAATATCCATTTTGTGCATTTATTTTCTGTTTAGAAATAACTGCTTTGGGCTATCGGTGGAGGATAGTCTTGATTGTTGTAGACAATGCATGATGATTAGGCAAACTAAAACTAATCGATTGAATGCGTCATAAAGTATGACGGTGGATAGAATACATTAATTTTATGTATTGATTGATTGTGTATAAAACCTTTGTGTTTATATGCATTGTGTGTAGAGGAGGAGATGGGGGATGTACTCCGCGGTTTAGGGGAAGATGGGGGATGAACCTCTAAACCGGATAGTGTTGGAAGGAGATGGAGGATGAACTCCATAGATACAGCTTATATGTTTGTCTAGAGAAGTGAAGATACAGCTCATAGGCTTATCTTTGAGAAGTGTAGATACAGCTCATATGCTTGTCTAGTGAAGTGAGGATACAACTAATATGCTTATCTGTTGATGTGTTGATATAGCTAATATGCTTATATATTAAATAAAGGTGGAGAATGAAAAGTGACATAGACTTGTATGTTATGAAATTGTGATGTGATATATGTGGATGCATCAGGGTTGGCCACCTATCAGTTGCTAATCTTTTAGTCATTGTTCATAATTGGTTTAGTATATCTCTGCTGGGCTGTGGCTCACCCTATATGGGAACATCACTTTTAGGTACAGGTAGCATGCCACCTCCAAGGACATAGCTTGGGAGGCTAGAGGCGGACAGACTTTTGTTATCTTATTTCCTTTTGATATATTACATGTAAATTCAAGCCAAGGGTTTAATGTGTAATTGAGTTAGTATTCTCTCTTGTAACCAAGTGTTAACTTGGAAAGCTGTAAGCCCGTAGGGCATTTGCTTTTGTTGTTAACATGTAATACTTTTGTAATGAAGTACTCTGATGAATTGAAGAATGTGGATCTTCTGTATATAAATTTATGTCTATATTGATGGGTTTAATGTTATTATTTTTTAGGGCGTGACAACTCCCCAGTCAAGACCACCTTCGTAAAGGAGACATTGGTCTTCTAGACGGGGATATAGGGCTGGGAGCTCAGTAGGGATCTCTTTGAATATGGACCCGAGCACGTAGTCTAGCTGCACATGGCGACGAGGGACAAAGATGCGTCCATCAATAGCGCTTTTCTCCCCAGCTTTGTATTTCTCACATTCTGCATCAATGATCCTCTTCAGGTCCACAGATGGGCTCGTACGCTCTACAACTGATACTAAAGGAGAAGCCATTGACAGTAATGCTGTTGGATTTACAAATGAAACAAATGTGGATGTTGATGAGAATAGTAGAGTTGGATATGTAATATCACTCCCATTTGAACATGATGGAATTAAGCTTTTATTTGGAAATGATTTGTTTAAATAGAGATGTCTGTTTTGGGCTATCGGTGATAGATAGCTTTGATTGTTATAGAAATTATATGAGGATTAGATGAATTGAAACTAATTTCTCGTACATCTTACATTGAGCATTGTTGCATACTTAACATTGAAAATATATTGTTTTGTGAAAAAAGGGTGAATACCTTGGTGAATTTGGGCAGGGGGTGTGGTTGTAGTGTTATGTTGGCCTATATGTCCTTGGTGAAAGTCTAGAAACTCGAGCGGTTAGGTGTCGATCCTTCTGGTTAGTACCGGTGAAATGGCTTTGGTAGTGCTTGTATAGCCTACTGGTAGACATGTACATAGAGATTCTCAGTGCTTGTATCCACTGTCCTATTTTCTGATGTCAACAGTTATTTTCATGAATTGAATTATAAATTGGCATTGCATTGTTTTGAAAAGGAGATGTGGAACGTTTGACAAATGGCATGCATGTGCATTCACCTTATAACTTTGTTAAGATTCATACACTTTGTTAAAGTATCTCTGTTGGCTTTGGCTCACTCTATGTGGAAAATAATTTTTAGGTGCTGATGATATGTCTCCGCCAAGGACTTAGCTTGGGAGGACTTCCAAATATCATAACATTCATACATAGCAATGTAATGAAATTTAAATAAAACACTCAAACACTAACAAGCAGGTCCGGATACTTCTCACGGACTTCCGCCTCATGCTCTCAAGTTGCCTCATCAACGCTATTGTGTCGCCATAATACCTTAACCAATAGGATATTCTTGCCTCTCAAGGCTTGATCCCAAGTATCTAACACCCGAACTGGCCTTTCTTCATCCGAGGCATCCCTGTCTACTTCTAATCCAATCCAATCCAATCCAACACATGTGAAGGATCAGGTTCGTACTTCCAGAGGATGGTGTTGATTGTTGTTGAATAGGTTATATGTGTATTTTCCTCATTATTGATTTAGTTGTGAAACTTAGAATGTTGTGATGACATATGAGAGATGTGAATGGTCTGTTTCCTTCCGGCTTGTGACCAGTAAAGCATGGCGCATTGACAGAGGTTTTGCATTCCTTCCAATTTGTTCCCAATAAAGCATGGTTAGAGGTTCCGCATTCCTTCCGAATAACGATCGGTATAGCGTAGGGCATGGAGATAGGATTCACTTACCTTCCAGCTTGCGCCCAGTAAAGCAAGTGAATTGTTGGGGCTATATGAAAGTTCCGCTTTCCTTCCGGCTAGCCACTAGTAAAGCGTGGCTCGTTTAGATAGGTTATGATTCATTCCAGTTAGCGCCCAGTAAATTGTGTTGTGGTTTTGATAACTCATATAATCAATGTTGTGGTATTGGATTGATAGCCCAATTGCCCTTCCATGCTGAGGCTGATAAATGTGGGAGTAATTTTTTATGTTTATTATTGTAGGACTCATGGAATAATGATTGTTATATGAAGAGTACTCGATGGGTATATAATTGTATGTAATAAATTGTCAATAATAATAAAATTGTTTTGTGAAACTAAAAGGGAATTAAGGAATTGGTCTGTTTTATCCAGAATCATGATCATTTTTATCTATGAAGTTTTATTGTTTAGAATCCTTGTGAATCCCTCTTGGACCTTTGTGTTCATCCCTCATGACTAAACCATTTTTAGGTGCGGAGTAGGTTTCATTCAAGGATCAAAAGGTGTTTTCAATTGAGAACCAATTCTTGTTGATTGTGGGTAAAGAGTTTATTTGTTATAGAAATGATGTTGTTCATGCCTTTTAATTATTTATTTTGTAATATTCGATGTAATTCTAAAAGGTCATGGATTATAATTTGTGATATTGTAAATTCCATCATTTATATTATTCGAAAGAGAACCTTTTCTATTTATTCATTTATACCTTTATTTCCATACTTGTATTGTGAAGTTGGATTTTATTAAGGAAATTGATAATGTATCCGAGTAACAAAATTAGGGCTATTATGTTTTCAAAGTGGACATACATTTTAGGACAATAAAAAATAAAATAATGGACTAATGAAATAGGACGGAGGGAGTGATTAATGAATTTCACAATTAATACATTATCATCTCCATAATAAGTGTACTATTATAAAAGTACTCATCTCTACTTGTAACAAAAAAAACCCAACTAATCCCTAATTTACATGGACCAAAATGAGAGTGATCAATGTAAAATAGGTCCCAATTAGTAAGCATAAAATATATCATCGGTCACCAATAGTTTTTAATATTTTAATATCATTTAGTGACAAAACTATTTTTGTGGCCAATATTTTTATCTTTGGTGAAGAAATAATTTTGTCACCAATAAATAATTTAGTCACTAAATATTTTAGGGGGGGAAATAAAAATGTTTTGGCCCAATCGGTTCTTCTTCTCAAACACACACAATAATTTCTCGGTTCAAACCTATTTCACACACACACACACACACGTTATACTCATTCACACACAGACTTCCCTCACCGCCGCTGCTACCATTTCATCGACTCACCGCTGACAGCCCTCACCGCCGCTGTTGGTTTCTCCTTCCCTTGCTGCCAATCATTAGCCCCTCCTTTCCTCACCGACGCTGCTATGCCGATCGGAGAACACCACCGCTGTTAGTCTCTCTCTCTCTCTCTCTCTCTCTCTCTCTCTCTCTCTACGCTCTCCTCTCTCTCTTAAATGCATTTCTCACAGAACGCTCTCTTCTCAACTTTTAAATATTCCTCACTCTCTCTTCATCTCATCACACTCCATGCCCACACACCATGAACACTACCACCATTTTTTTCATAGCTTTTCTCCTCACCTCAGTCCTCTCCCTTGTAACCCGACCCGAACCCACCAGATCATCCCAACCCCAGCCCAAACCCTCCAAAGAAACGGGTCACCACCCAACCCAAAACAACAACAATAATGGTGGTGGTGGTGGTGGTGGGGGATTCTTCGGTCCCGGAGGCGGTTTCAATGTACCCGGGTTTGGAAACGGGTGGAGCAATGGCATAGTCGGTGGCGGATACGCCTGTTATTTTTCTATTGTTGCTTCTTTTGCCATACAACTATTCTTCAATCCCACTCAGCATTTTGACTTCAATTTCAATCCCATCTGCTACATATGTATAGGCTACATATTTTAGGCCTTTTGACAGTGACAATTCATTACATGTATTAGAGGTCATGCCTCTTTGGTCTCTGTAGTAGTAGTAGTAGTAATGTTATGTTTAGGTAGTATCAAGTATGCTCTTGCACTAGCTAGTATGTTTTTAGTAGTGTTTGATGTTGCCTTTTTTATCAACTATGAATGGTTTGAACCATTTTGCATAATTCTTGTGACTGGTGTTTGATGTTTATTTTATACCCACATTGCTTGCGAAGTACTTGTATTGAAAATCAAAATGTGTTGCAATGTCAAATATTATTAAAGATGAAGTGAAGTCATATGTCTAACACCAAATGGTTTGAAGCAAGATTGTAGAACTCAATTCAACAAGTGGTAACATAATTATATAATTATGGTTTAAATCGTGGGATCGCCATAATGAGGAAGGGAATTACATAAACATGGTTGAAATCATGGGATCATCACCATGAGGAAGGGATTATTCATCATGAGGAAGGGATTATTCATGTACACGCCCTTCTAAAGATAAGTCCACATAATTTAATGTCAAATGCCATAAAAGAAATATTTTGCCCTCATTAATTTTAGGTAAGATGGCTTTGTATGAAGATAGGCATATTAGTCATACTCTTTATCATTACTTATAAAAGAAGGATATATATCATATGGAAATTATGTCATTTGTAAATTTGATTATAAGAAATAACATAACTCAATACTATAAGGATCGTAACTTAAAAACAAAAAAAGAAGTTATAATTAAATATCACATGAGGTATAACTAAGAACTTTTGTTAGAATGTTATGTTCAGAAGTGGCTGTCATTTTTGGTTTTGTTTTTGTGGGATTTCTATTCTGGTTAGAAGGGGCCTAGGTTAGTAGGTGCAACATCAGTAGCCTTCAGTGTGGGAGTTCTGCTAGTGGAGTATTTTGGTGTTATAATGGTGGAGTATTTTGCTTTTGTATTGCAGTAGGAATGGTGTTAGAATGGTGGTGTTAGAATGTTAAAATCAATAATGACCATTTTTGTTAGTTTTTATTCCTTACTTGCATATAACATTAGAACTTGTATAAGAATCTTCATTAAAGATCTGGGCATATATTTGGTGAAGTTGTTATTGAATTTTTCAATTTAATTAGTTCATAAATACACAAGTCTACATTATGCTATATTGTTCCTAATCTTTCATTTGTGATCAGACATGGATAAAAGTTGGATTGCCCTAGGTAAGACGGCTGATGGAAGGATGAGTAAACCATATAATGATGGGGTCAAGTTATTTCTTCAATTTGCAATGGGGGTTATAGACCAGAATGGTAATCTGTTGTGCCCATGTATAAAGTATGTGAATGTTTGTAGACAAAATCTTCAAAATGTGGAAATTCATTTGCTCCAATATGGGATTATGCAAACTTACACTGTATGGCACCAGCACAAGGAACCCCGTGTTTCAAACGAGGCTTACCATGATGATGAGATGCGACTTGATGGTGATGAAATTGTAGGTGGTATTGAAGCCTTAGTGGAAGATCGAATAAGAGGAGAATCGACTGATACAACCCAAGGGGAGGAAGTGAGAACTTTTGATCAATTGTTGACTGATGCCAAGCGTGAGTTCCCAAATTGTACAAATTATACTGTGTTGAAGTTTGTGATTGAGGTGCTTAATATGAAGGTAACAAATCATTGGAGCAATAAGTCAGTTGATATGATGCTAGAGTTTTTTAGACTTTTACCGAAAGAAAATTTGGTTCCAAAGTCAACTTATGAAGCTAAGAAAATACTTTGTGACTTGGGTTTGTCATATGAGCTCATTCATGCTTGCATAAATGAATGTGTATTATTTTGGAAGGAGAATGCAACGCTAGATAAATGTCCGACTTGTAAGACATCTAGATACAAGATCAATCGTGGAATGGGTAAGAAGATCCCTCATAAAGTATTGCAGTACTTTCCTTTGACACCAAGGTTGAAAAGATTGTACATGTCAAGGAAGAGGACTAAGGACATGAGATGGTACAAAGACAAACGAATGGACAATGAGATATTGAGGCATCCCGCTGACAGTGATGAGTGGAAGGAATTTGATGCACAAGATCCCGAGTTTGCCTTAGAGCCTCGAAATGTGAGGTTAGGGTTGGCCGTTGATGGGTTTTATCCTTTTGGGAACATGAACAACTCTTATAGTTTGTGGCCCGTCATACTCATTCCATACAACTTGCCACCTTGGTTGGTTATGAAGGATCCATTTTCTTTGATGTCATTACATATTCCTGGAGAATCGCAACCAGGGATTGATATTGACATCTACACGCGACCATTGGTGGATGAGTTGAATGATTTATGGACAAATGGTGCATTGACTTACGACGCCTCCACCAATGAGACTTTTCGAATGCATGCAGCTTTGTTGTGGACAATACATGATTGGCCTGCATTTGGTGACATATCTAGGTGGAGAACAAAGGGTCATTATTCTTGTTACACTTGCAATGATGAACCATATTTTGAATCTTTGAGAAGTAAGAGGACGTACACTAACCATTGATGTTACTTGCCTGAGGACCACCCAGAAAGGAGAAAGAGTAGGGCATACAATGGTAAGATTGCGAAACGGAAGAAATCTTTGGAGTTGCCGGCGGAAAAGATACAAGACCAGTTGGACAACGTGACAGGTGTCATATATGGAAAGCATCCCAGTAATAGAAAAAGGCCCCGTCAAGCACCTAATTGGACAAAGGTAAGCATTTTGTATGAGTTACCCTATTGAAGGAAGCAAAAACTTTGACACAACATTGATGTCATGCATGTGGAGAAAAATTTTAGTGAAAATGTTTTCAGAACTATGTTAGGCATTGATGGAAAGAACAAGGACACAGACAAGGCACGATTAGACTTGGAAGATATGGGTATAAGGAAAGAGCTATGGCTAACACAACGACCCGATGAATCATATGTCAACCCTCGAGCAATCTTTTCATTGACACCTACAGAGAGGGAGGGTTTCTTTGAATTTTTAAAAACTGTCAAGTATCCAGATGGGTATGCGGCAAACATATCCAAATTAGTGAATGGAAGAAATGGTAGACTAACAGGACTAAAAAGCCACGACTGCCATGTACTAATACAAAGAATTCTTCCCATTGGAATGCGTGGTTACGTGGATAAAGAAATTAGCACAACACTTTTTAAGTTAGGCAATTTCTTCCAAGACCTATGCTCTAGGACACTAAGGCGGAGCGAACTGGAGAAATTAGCGGAACGTATAATACACATTTTATGCAAGCTTGAAAAGATCTTTCCTCTAGCCTTCTTCGATGTGATGATCCACTTGGCTATTCATTTGCCTCGTGAGGCTATTCTTGGAGGACCCGTACAATATCGATGGATGTACCCAATTGAAAGGTATTTTTTACACTTATACTTGTAAATGAGATTTACGTAAGTGTGTTGCATATGTAATTATACTCCTAATTCGTTCTCTCCTGAAGGTTTCTTGGAGCATTAAAAAAATATGTGACCAACCGAGCTCCACCAGAAGGTTCAATTGCCGAGGCTTACATTGTCAAAGAGTGCATTACTTTTTGTTCAATGTATATTGATGGGATTGAAACCATGCATAATCGACCAGAACGGAATGAAGATCGCAATGAACGTCAACAAGGGTTGACAGTATTCACAAAAATTACACGTCCAGTTGGTCTAATCACACGAGATGCTGAAATGTCTCAAGAAATTCGTGATATTGCTCATTGGTTTGTGTTGTACAATAGCCCAAAGATTGAAAAGTATTTGGAGTATGTGTTTCATTGAATTATGTCTATGCTCAGCTTTTTTATTTGCAGAACTACGTAGTAATCACTTTTTCTTTTTTTTCTTTTTTTGAGTAGGGAACACAAAAATCTATTACAAACTCAAGCTGGGCATAACATAACCCACATACAACGACAAGAATTTCCCAAGTGGTTCAAAGAGAAGGTAAAACATTTATAATTTTTTTGACATTTACAACTTCAACAAAATTAAAGTTTTATAAAATGTTGTCATTCATAAATTATTTACTTATTGTTTGTTACATGTAATTGTAGATAAATAGATTGATAATGGAAGAGTCATTAAAGAGTACTCAGGTTGCATAATCAACAGCAGCCGGTTCCATACTCGAGATCAAGACAACCATCGTACGAGTTAGAATAGTGGTGTGCTTACATACGGGGATCATGAAGGAAAATTGCATGACTTCTACAGTCACTTGTGCAAGGTTTTGGAATTTGACTACATATATGGTAAAAAGATTGTTTTGTTCCAGTGTAAATGGTACAACACCGGTAACACTGGTAGAAACAGAACAATACAATTTGATACATATTGCACAAGCATTGACGTCACAAGTCGGTGGTACCAATCTGACCATTTATCCTACCTAGTCAAGCTAAGCAGGTCTTCTATCTAAATGATACCAAATTGGATGAACCTTGGAATGTCGTACAAAGGGTGCAACATAGGGGTGTCTTTGATGTTCCAGACACTAGTGATGGAGAATTATTGGATCCTATAGAAAATAATGATGTGTTCCAACAAGAAAACATTACTGATGTTGTTCTAATTGACATTGACCCAATTGTTCGGTACTGTAGGGATGATGTTGAATTCAATGTTATTTCGGAAGTAGGGTCATCAGATGCAATAATGGAAGAAAATAGAGATGATGAAGGAGATGAAGAACATAACATTCATGATGTTGATATGGATCCTGATATGGATTATGATGTGTAATTTTTAGTAGATCACTTTATTTTCGAATAGATGTTATTAATTAACGTAATTTTTATTTTATATGATTATGTTACTTTTTTTTTCTTCTTTTATGTAATGGTAGATGATGACATTGTCTATATTTTTCAATTAAAGTTGAATTATGTTATATAGTTGTAGAAAATGGTCTGAGGCAAAAAACAATGGCTGAAACCAGGTGATTTGAGAACTAAGAAGCTAACAGAATACGAGAAACAAAGAAATAAACGAATCAAGGAGAACTGTGAGGTAATGAACAATCTTGGAGTGAAGAATATTACAAATTCTTTAGGGAGTGCGGTTCAACCCAAATGTGCAACTGCAAGGGAAAAAGGAATTAGGGTTGAGGTAGATGATGATGTTGAGTATAACCCTTCAGAGAGTGAGGATGACAATGATGATGATTGGGTTCCTTTGACCGCGAGGTATTATACACATTATGTTATATTTGTGTGTGAACATGTCTTTTACTTTTTACAATTCTTCTTCACATATCTTACACATCATATCTTTTTTAAAATATATTTTAACTGTTTTAAATATCGTTTTCACTGTTTGATTATGTTCTTTCAGGAACAACAGATGGCACCAGGACTCTGTTTACGGTCTCATTCAAGGCCATTAACTCCCACTCTAGAGGAAAGGATGGAACCCCCAAGTGAGGAGGTCGGTACCCAACCCTTACCACCTCATAATGTGCAACCTGAGGACGAGGTGACTGCATCTACCATCGTTGGTAAGTTTGCAAAGTTGTTTTTAAGGTTTAACTTGCATTTGTTTACTTACTAACTCAATTAATATTATATCCTTACAGTATCACATGACAGACGTGGTCGTGGCTCACTACGCGGCATACAGGCCCATCGCATTGTCGAGAAGGATGGGAAGATGTTAGTTCCTATACCTGAACAGTTTCGTGCACCAGTAGGAGACAACGCCTCCAAGCTAGTCTCCAAGATTGGTATAGAGGTTCGAACACAGTTACCAGACCTGAGTGTTCGTAGGTGAAAGAAGGTGAATGTTGCTGATAAGGAGCCGATGATCTAACGCTTAGCGGTAATTATTGACAAACTCTTTTCATGTTTAGGCTCTGTTTCTTTGTAATTTTTAATTTTTTTTCATTTTGCAAGATCAGTTTGATTTACAAGGCAATCGGATTGATGTAGCAAAGGCTTTAGACACACAGTTTGGTCGACGATTGAGTGGTTTCACCTATAAGTTGCACAAACAATACAAGAAACTTAAGGATGCAAGAGGGGAGGATTACGAGAGAAGCCACCCACCTGCCAGAGTTACTCTCAATCAGTGGACATCTCTAATTGACAAGTGGAATAGTCAAAAATTCAAGGTAAAATGTTTAATGTATGTTAATTGTCAAAAATTAAGTTTTTTCTTACTAATGTTATTTTTTCTTGTTTGTATTGGTATTTCAATTGTTTAGGAACCATCACTAGCTAATGTGAATAATAGGATGCAAATGAAAACAAAACATCGATATGGATCAAAATCAATCCCGATCAGGGTACGCAGCTCGGTGCGTTCTAATAATTTATTTTATTGGATTAGTAGGCTTTGTTATTTAAATCATTGAATTAACATTGACAAACAAATGAAGCAGATAATTGCAAACGGCAAAGTGCCCGATTTAGCAGAATTTTACAAGTCCATCCACTACAATTCAGACACGCATGAATGGATTTCATCGAAGAGCCAAGTTAATTATGTATGTACAAGGCAATGCCTTTCAATTTTGATAATATTATTTATTTTGCTGTGTAGGGTAAAATAACTAATACTTGTTTAATTTATTTCAAATTAATAGGACAACATAATACAGACGCAAGCAGAACACCTCTCGCAGACTAGTGCGATCCCCTTGACCCTAGAGAAGTTGTCAGTCAAGGTGCTTCAGCCAAGGCCAAGTTATGTGAAAGGACTCGGTATGAGGCCTTCTTCTTCTGTGAATACAACTGTTGCACCTGCTGAAAATAATGACTATGTTCAACGCCTCGAGCTGCAAATAGCACAACAAAATGAACAAATTGCAAGGTTTGAAAAGTCAGAGAAGAAACAAAGCAAGAAGATACAAAGTATCATCGAGTGTTTGAGGCAAAAAGGTATCACGGGAAATTTTGAGAGTGGGGAAAGTTCAGATTTTGATGGACAAGCTTCTTGGTTAGTATATTATGTTTCTATGTTAATTTAATAGAAATTTATTCTTTAACTAAGATAGTGAACTATGCATGTAAAAGCCCAAGAAACATCACAAACACTGAAATATGCACATGGCTCCCAATTAGGAAACTACTTTCAAATTTGCACTATTCCAACATGTAGGCATGAAACTAAGTCGAAAACTATTCCAAAATGTAGGCATGGAACTAGTCGAAAAATCGTGCAACAGCCACGAGACGGCCCGGGGAACACCTCAAACACCTCGGGAGGGACCAATGTGAGTTGTGGAAACTTACGGAACAAGCACGGGACTCCCGGTTTGAAAACTAAGTCCAAAAATGCACTTTTTCACACTTAAGCTTGAAAATAGGACACCGGAAGCCAAAATCGTGCAACAGCCATGAGACGGCCCAAGGAAGACCTCAAACACCTCGAGAGGGACCAATGTGAGTTGTGGAAACTTACGGAACTAGCACGGGACTCCCAGTTTGAAAACTAAGTACAAAAATGCACTTTCTCACACTTAAGCTTGAAAATATACCTATCGGGGCAAAAATCGTGCAACAGCCACGAGACAGCCTGGGGAACAACTCAAACACCTCGGGAGGGACAAATGTGAGTTGTGGAAACTTACGAAACTAGCATGGGACTCACGGTTTGAAAACTAAGTCAAAAAAATGCACTTTTTCACACTTAAGCTTGAAAATAGGCCACCGGGGGCCAAAATCGTGCAACAGCCATGGGAGGGCCTGTGGAACACCTCAAACACGTCGAGAGGGACCAATGTGAGTTGTGGAAACTAATGGAACTAGTACGGGACTCCCGATTTGAAAACTAAGTCCAAAAATACACTTTTTCACACTTAAGCTAGAATATAGGCCATCGGATGCCAAAATCGTGCAACAGCCACGGGACGGCCCGCGGAACACCTCAAACACCTCAGGAGGGACCAATGTGAGTTGTGGAAACTTACAGAACTAGCACGGGGCTCCCGGTTTGAAAACTAAGTCCAAAAAGGCACTTTTTCACAATTAAGCTTGAAAATAGGCCACCGGATGCCAAAATCATGCAATAGCCATGGGGCGGCCCGGGAAACACCTCGAACACCTCGGGAGGGACCAATGTGAGTTGTGGAAACTTACGGAACTAGCACGGGACTCCCGGTTTGAAAACTAAGTCCAAAGAGGCACTTTTTCACACTTAACGTTGAAAATAGACTTTCGGGGGCCAAAATCGTGCAATAGCGACGAGACGGCCCGGGGAACACCTCAACCACCTCGGAAGGGACCAATGTGAGTTATGGAAACTTACAGAACTGGCACGGGACTCCCGCTTTGAAAACTAAGTCTAAAAATGCACTTTTTCACACTTAAGCTTGAAAATAGGCCACCGGGGGTCAAAATCGTGCAACAGCCATGGGACAACCCGGGGAACACCTCAAACACGTCGAGAGGGACCAATGTGAGTTGTGAAAACTTACGGCACTAGCACGAGACTCCCAGTTTGAAAACTAAGTCCAAAAAAGGCACTTTTTCACACTTAAGCTTGAAAATAGGCCACCGGAGGCCCAAATCGTGCAACAGCCACGAGACGGCCTGGGGAACACCTCAAACACCTCGGAAGGGACCAATGTGAGTTGTGAAAACTTACGGAACTAGTACAGGACTCCTGGTTTGAAAACTAAGTCCAAAAATGTATTTTTTCACACTTAAGCTTGAAAATAGGCCACCGGGAGCCAAAATTGTGCAAAAGTCACGGGATGGCCTGGGGAACACCTCAAACACCTCAGGAGGGACCGATGTGAGTTGGTGAAACTTATGGAACTAGCACAGGACTCCCGGTTTGAAAACTAAGTCCAAAAAGGCACTTTTTCACAGTTAAGCTCGAAAATAGGCCACCGGAGGCCAAAATCGTGCAACAGCCTTAAGACGGCCCAAGGATGACCTCAAACACCTCGGGAGGGACCAATGTGAGTTGTAGAAACTTACAAAACTAACACGGGACTCCCGGTTTGAAAAATAAGTCGAAAAGGCACTTTTTCACACTTAAGCTTGAAAATAGGCCACCGGGGGCCAAAATCAAGCAACAGCCATGGGACGGCCCGAGGAACACCTCAAACACATTGGGAGGGATCAATGTAAGTTGTGGAAACTTACGGAACTAACACGGGACTCCCGATTTCAAAACTAAGTCCAAAAGACACTTTTTCACACTAAAACTTGAAAATAGGCCACCGGATGCCAAAATCGTGCAACAGCCATGGGACGGCCCGAAGAACACCTCAAATACCTCGGGAGGGACCAATTTGAGTTATGAAAACTTACGAAACTAGCACGGGACTCCCGATTTGAAAACTAAGTCCAAAAATGTACTTTTCCACACTTAAGCTTCAAAATAGGGCACCGGGGGCCAAAATCGTGCAACAACCACGGGATAGCCCAGGGAACACCTAAAACACGTCGGGAGGGACCAATGTGAGGTATGGAAACTTACGAAACTAGCACGGGACTCCCGATTTGAAAACTAGTCCAAAAATGCACTTTTCCACATTTAAGCTTCAAAATAGGCCATCGGGGGCCAAAATCAGGCAACAACCACGGGACTGTCTAGGGAACACCTCAAACACGTCGAAAGGGATCAATGTGAGGTATGGAAACTTACGGAACTAGCACGGGACTCCCGGTTTGAAAACTAAGTCCAAAAAGGCACTTTTTTACACTTAAGCTTGAAAATAGGCCACCGGGGGCCAAAATCAGGCAATAGCCGTGGGACGGCCCGGGGAACACCTCAAACACATCGGGAGGGAC